TGATGACAGCAGGAGGTGTTTGGGTCCTGAGGGGATGGTAGGGGAGTCCTCCTGAATGGATTAATGCCTTTCTCGCATGAGTGAGTTCTCATTCTCATGGATCTGGATTAGTTCGCTCAAGAGCTGTTACAGAGTGAGTCCACCTTTTGTGTTCTGCCTCCTCTTCTTCCATCCACTTGCCCTTCTGCTTTCTTCCATGAGTTAAAGCAGCCCAAAGTTCTCAGCAGATTTCGCCATCCGTTCTTGGACTTCTCAATCTCTAGAATCATGAGCCAAAATAAAACCTCTTTTGTTTATAAATTACTCTCAGATATTCTGTTATAACAACACAAAACAGACTAAGACTTACTGACTTTTAAGTTTAGTGTAAAGATTCTAATACTGATAACATTCCTACTAGACAGAAAAAGGAGACTTGAATGTATGAATTAGCCAGAAAGTGCTGGAAAAGTTAGGCAAATCATTTAAATACATATGAATATGGAGTATGGGGCCATTAGGTTTAAGGTGATTCAAAGAATTCTAAAAAAACTATCCCCTCCCCAAAAGTCTCTTCTTCACCAGCTTGCTACAGTGTCCATAATTCATTCATTACTCTTTGTCTTGGGATGACCTTAAACAATCCTCAGAGTCCAGGAAAGGATAAAATAACCTGTCATACAGTTCCTTTAAGGTGTCAGGGTCTTATTTATTGCTTGGAAGCAAGGAGAGGATAGGGAGATGGTACTGAACTAAATATAAACTCCTTTTGCCTTTGTAATGCTGCCAAGTATGGACCCTGTAGGAGTAAAACACTGACTGGCTCAGTCACTGGTAACTTTTGGGATTCTTGCAGCTCCCATGAGAATAGCATATGGGAGAGATACTTAAGACCTCGTGATCCAACTCAATGAGCCAGTAATTTTGGTAGTGAAGGAAAGGTCTCTGGATATAACATGTCAAATTGCTTAGAGGTTTTAGTATAAAAGGTAGATTCCCAAAAGCAATTTTAAATGAATTGACTCTCTAGGTGAAATCTTTTTTCATTTGATGCTAAGTTTCCAGGAGCCCTATATTAGTCAGGTTTCCAACCGTGTAATAGATTCTTGATGTAAATAAACTTAAAAAGAGGAAAGATTTATTTTGACTCATGGTTTTGGAGATTTCAGTCCACGGTTACTTGGCTCCATTGCCTTTGGGCCAGTGGCAGCAGCACAGTACATAATGATAGGAGCTCATGCTAGAGGAAGCTTGTTCATTCCATGGTGCAGGGAAGCAAAAAGGGAGAAAGGAGAGGGGGCAACCCCAATGTCCCCTTCAAGGGCACAGCCCCAGTGGCTTAGCTTCCTTCCACATCTCCCAATACCACCATGGATCGGTTAACACATGGACCTTTGAGGGATGCTTATTCAAAGAAGAGGAAGGCTAAAAATAACTTAGACATAACATGGATGTTTCTGTTTTTTATTCTATTCTATCCCTGGCACTGGGGTAACTTGGTCCTTTCTTTCCTAAGAACTCTTCCTGGGAAACTACCATTCTCAATGGTATTAGCATGGATGCAATACAGAGATGACTCATTTTAACATCTTCACTTTGCAGATGTGAAAACTGGCACAGAGTTGAGAGTAACTTAGAGCAGAATTGCACAGTGGCTACACCGTGGAACTTAGGAATCAGAATTAGATCTGCCACGTAGTAGTAGGTACATGAACTTGAGCGAGGTAATTGATATTCATTTCTTAGCTGCAATTGCTTCTAAGACGTTTCTTGGTGAACGAGTGTCTATAAAGCACCTACTCAAAGAATAATCTTAAAACTTTCCCAGTATTATTTACTAATTTTTTTTTATTGAGATATGTAATTCATCCTATGGTTTGGATAAGGCCCACACAGGCTCACATGTGAAAGGCACTATTTGGAATGTAGTAGAGCCTTTAAGAGGCGGAGTCTAATGGAAGGTATTCTCATCACGGGGCCCAGCCTGTACCTCTTTTCTCTTTCACGTCCCAGCCATCATGAGAACAGTTTTGCCGCATGCTGTTATCGTGATGCCTGTCTCACCACAGGCACAGGAGCAGCAGGGCCAGTCAATCATGGACTGAAAACCTCCAAAGCCATAAGCCAAATGAAACCTTTTCTCTTCATAAGATGATTGTGCCACATATCTGTTACAGCAATGGAAAGCTAACATAAAATTCACCATTTTAAAGTGTATAATTTAGTTGGTTTTAATATATATACTGTTAGGTAACCATTACCACTATCTGATTCCAGAACATTCTTATCACACACCCTCATCCCAAGTCCTCTACATATCAGCAGTTGGTCCCAATTCCCTTCTCTAACTCCTGGAAACCTCTACGCGCTTTTTGTCTGCATATTTGTCTTGTTCTGGCAGTGTCATATAAATTGAATGACATAACATATGACCCTTTGCAGTTTGGCTTTTCTCACTTAGCATCATGTTTCCAGTGTCACCCATGTTGTCGCATATAATCCATTCCTTTTTATTGCTGAGTAATATTCCACTATATAAATATGACACAATCTACCCTTCATCAGTTGATGGAGATTTTGTATAATGCCATTGTTTTACAGGGTTGGGCCAAAACCAGAAGGAGGACTTGGATGACTAACTTTCCACCTTGTCCTGATTTTACTGTCCCACACTGGTTTTCATAACCTCTGAGCACAGGTAACATTTTAACTGGAAATCTTTTGCTCAGTGAAACCCCTACAACCTGGCTGCCTAATTTTCAGATTTTATACTTTTACAAGAGCTTTTCCAGTCTGGAAAAAATGCATAGTTCAAATAAATGAAATCTAAACATTTTGGGGCAGTTGTGCTGAGAACCAAGTTTAATTTTTATTTTCCAGACTTCAATAGGTGGTCTTTCATGCCTCTTCCTCCTACTGTACTTCATAGAATGGCCTGAGATCTGAACGGTATCTTTTTTTAATCTACTTGTTTTTATGTGCATGAGTTCACCACCATGATATATAGCCCAGGATCAAAGAAAGTTTTTATTAGGTTTGGTTGATGTTTGAGTCCCTTCTCTCTTGTTCATTTTACTGCATGGCAAATATTGAGAATTATTCTTTTCTCTCATAAGACAGGCACTGCCATTACTCTAATCTGTAGGGACAGGGACTACATGCCTTCAGGCCAGACTCCAGTGTGCTTCAGACACAGCTGGCCAGCTCTTCTCCCCTCCCACTGTCTGCTGTCTAAGTGAAAGCTCATGGTGAGATGAGAGGGAACTTGGTAACCTGGCCTCCTTCCCACATCTGACTGCCCCAGCCCTCAGATCTGATCTCCCTGGTGACAAGATCACAGAAGGCCATCTTTTTAGCCATAGTCCTCATTTCTTCAGAGTCAGCATTGTGCCCAGAGGGAGAGCACCTGGCCATACTTGGGCTTTCTCTTTGTAGGTGTAAGAAGATTGGAAGCAGGTTCAATTTATGAAGGATTTGGTTGTTGACGCCCCTTGGGAACCAGTGATGTGTAGGCTGTGGCGAGATTCCAGTGGTGAAAGCATTTCCCTGGGTTCCTCGGGGATTTGTGCTACTTTATGTGGGGTGGCGCTAATGGAGAGTCCAGCCTAACTTCATTTCCTGACTTTGACCAAGTGTTTTCTTTGCTGAAGCTTTAATGACCTAGGATCCTGAATACTGCTAATTATTTCATTTGATGTTCTATTTTCTTGGTATCCTTTCAACTCTGGAGCAGTTAGCGTGTGTCACACTTCATGTGCATTATCTCATATTATTTCCTGCTTCTCAATATTTGCCTCCCTCAGATACATAAAGAAGCAACTGGCCCCTGACCGTGTCTTCTCTATGCTGAGTGTCTCTTATTCCCCCAAATGTTCCTGATTGGCCCAGCTTCCAGCAGCCTTCTTTGTCCTGGTCCTCTATGTCTGTTTTGTCAGTGCTTTTCTTAATGTGAGGCTCAACTGGAAAGGACCATCCATGTGTGCTGTGAACAGCCCAAACTGGGACCATGACCAGGAGGTGAACCTGATACTCATTCTGGGCCAGCACTTAGCCTATTACAGCTTAACACCAGTCAGCCCCTCCTACTCACTATTGTACCTTTTAACTGCTATGGGGCAGAAGTTACTATTATAAAGTTGATTATTTTTTTGGCCTAATAACAGAACTTTACATGTCCCCCAATCCATTTTATCCATTCTTTACCCTGGGCACTAATAATATCATGCTATCTGCAATATATAGATGAGAAATAAAGAGCAATATATAGGTGAGAGTCTAGCATAATTTTGATACAAGAAATTATTGAAAGGGTGGAGAATTCTTTTATTTTTTTGGTTCAACCAAGCCCTTCATCTTTTAAAAAACCATTTTAAATTGACACATAATTATACATATTTATGGAGTACAGTATGACATTTCATTGTACACAATGCAATGACCAAATCACCTCAGACAGTTATGGTTTCCTGATGTCAGGCACATTCAAAATCCTCTTTAGTAGCTATTTTGAAATGTAAAACTAAATGTTATCGACCACAGTCACCTTCCTGTGCCATAGAACATTTGAAATGAGTCTTCCTATAAGAATGTTTTCTGGGGCTGGGGATTTAGCTCAGTGCTTCCGGCGCCTGCCTCGAAATCGCAAGGTCCAAAGTTCGATCCCCGGGACAAAAAAAAAATATGTTTTCTAGGGGCTGGGGGTGTAGCTCAGTGTTTGCCTAGCATGCATGAGGCCCTGGGTTCTGGCCTCAGCACTGCAAAAATAAGCAAAAAAAAATTTATTTTTAATGATACGTTAGTATTGACTGTCCGCAGAAAAACCCGTCTGTGACTCTTAATCTTAGGGGATCTCAATTAGTAACTTCTAGCTCATGGGGTTGTGTTTGGGGGAGTCATCGCCAGTTGCATAGATGAAGACAGTGAGGTTGAGCTCCCTGGGAATCCTGGCGCCCGGTCCTGGCTGGTCCCGGTCCCTGGCGCCTGCACGCAGCCCTCTAAGCCGCCCTGTCTGTGTGTTGCAGTTACCTGGCTGAGCAGTGCTGGAATGGAGGCTTCATCTACCTGATCATGCTGCGGCGCTTCAAGCACAAAGCCCATTTGACTTACAATGGCAGCAACAGCTCGGAACCAGGAGAGACACCTACCTTGGAGCTGGGTGACCAAACCTCAAAGAAGGGAAAAAGAACGAGAAAGTTTGGGGTCATCTCCAGACCTCCGGCCCACAAGGCCCCTGAGGAACCGGTGAGCAGTGCTGGCTGCGAGGCGGCCTACGATGCCGATGCCGATGCCGACGCCGGCTCGGAGCTGGAAAACGGCAGCGCCGACCCGGAGCCCGGACACAGACACAGCTCCGAGCTGGAGAATGGCTCCCACTCTCTTCAGGAGGAGGCTGCATCCCATCTAGGGAGCTCAGCAGCCGACAAAGGGGCAGAGCCTGGACTGCCAAAGACAGAGGCTGCTCTGACCACCGGAAATGACAAAGGCCGCTTCTCCAAAGCTGGGAAAACAGACTTCCAGTCAAGTGACTGCCTGCCGCGGGTAAGGTTTGCTTGGATTACAGGACCCGATTTGTTTTGAAGGTGCTTTTAAAGTTTAGAAAACGTGTGTGATGACTTTACAGTTAGATATCAGCAAATTCATCAAGATAATGATCAGAGCACGTAACACCAACAAAACAGTTCAGCAACTCACTTTGTCCTACTTAAATAAAGAGCTAGTTAGAGGATAATAAGTGAAAATCCAAGCCTTCTGTGGTCAAATTTGAGTCAGATGAGGCCCAGATAAAGCACTTGAAGTGCATCATTTTTCATCACTGCTGTCACAGGGAAATTGCTACTTCAAAACCAGGAATTCCTGGTTGCAGTTGATAGCACAAACATCCCAGCTTCAGTATTACACAGAAATGCCATCCAACATGCAGCCGAGCATCTGCTTTTATTTTATTAATTTATTTTTTGGTTTTTTTGAGATAGGGTTTCTCTCTGTAGTTCAGGCTGGCCTCAAATTCATGGTGATCCTCCTGCCTCAGCCTCCTGAGTGCTGCTGGGATTACAGACATGCACCACCATGGCCGGCTCAGGCTTTTGTTTTAACAGTTCAAAACCAGTGATATTTTCCTGGTATCATGGCATTATACTGATACATTCCAGCGAGGCTTGGAATCTTCACAGAGACCTCTGGTCTGGGATATCCAGCTGTGATGGTGGAGGTTGGTCTGGCCTAAAGGCAAAGCAGGTGAGGTATTTTCTGACGGGTGATGGGTGAGACAACAATGTCTCCAGTTGTCTACCCATTATGCCCAAGGTTTTCATATCAGAGCTACACCTCTTAGGGTAAATGTGTCTGTTCCAAGAGTTCTCCTAGCAGCTGTCTCTGCAGGATCTTAAGGAAGCAATTGTTTGCCGGGTGGGTGCTGACTGGCTTCTTTGGTTCAGGAGACAATCTCTAGGGGTGAGAGAGAAGTTGGAAAGGTGGGACACAGACATGGAAGTATCATGTTCAGCTTTGCGCGCTAAGGAAAGCTGCCCTGGGAGTGACTAAATTCTCCCTTAGTTATTTGATGTGATTATTTCTGGGTGTTAGCCAAGCTGTATGATGGGTTGAGAAGAATCAAAAGAAGCCCTGTCCCAACATATGTACATTTGAGGAGTTGGGTGACCCTGTAATGCCTTACCCCGGGAGGCATTATTTGTAGAAGAATGGATGTGTGAACAAATGACAACAAAAACTTGATATCACTTTCAGTGGGTTTTTTTACCTGTTTTATGAGTTTCCCCTAAAAAGGGTTAAAGGCAAAGAAAAGATTTAATGTATACCCCTCAATTTTAGAGCAGTAAACATTAAAATATGTTCCTTATCAGTGAATAGCATTTTTTGTTTGTTTGTTTGTTTGTACCGGGGATCGAACTCAGGTCCTTGCACTTGCGAGGCAGGCAGCGGAACCACTGAGCTAAATCCCTGGCCCAAATACCACATCTTGATATGATTTTTTCACCTAATGATTACACTGTGAATACACAGAAGACCTAACGTGAACAATATAAGGTAGGGCAAAATTCCTTAATTTCAAAGGCTTAGGGGGCACCAAAGGAGGTTGAATCACATATACAGTCCAAAGATCAGGCTTTAATTTAACCTAGGCCACAGTGAAAATTATTTGGAATGATTTTTAAAGAAAAAAAAACCTACCACCAAACTTCTGAGCACCAATCTTCCACTTATCCTAATTAAAAACAGTAACATAAAGTTGAATTTCTGGATTAGACTACCTGAGGACTACCCATATCAAAGTTGTTTTGCCTGGTTTTATGCTCAAGGTCAGAGGTCCATGCTAGGCATGCTGGCACACACCTGTAATACCAGCACTCTTTGAGGCAGAGGCAGGAGAATTGCAAGTTCAAGCCCAGCCTGGGCAACTTAGCAACAAGAACCTGTCTGAAAATAAAAATAAAGATAAAAAAGGACTGAAAATGTAGAAAGAAAGAAAGAAGGAAGGAAGGAAAAGAAAAGAAAAAAGAGAAAGGAAGGACGGGGAGAGTCCCTGGAGGTATAAATGAAAGGGTGAAAAAATCTGTTGGCTTGGGGGCAATTTTTGTTATTTTTTATTTTTTTATACCAGGGATTGAACTCAGGATGTTGCGTTTGGGAGGCAGGCAGTGGAACCACTGAGCTAAATCCCCAGCCCTGGGGTATCTTTTTTTGAGAATCCTTATAGAGAGGAAAATCTTGCCATCTGGAATTTGCATTCTTTGTAACTGTCCATAATCCACAGACTAACCATTGGCCCTGGTTCATACTTTTGGTCTTGGTGAGTGGGCATGGACCACATACCTTCTGAGCCATGCACATTTTAGCACCCTTCTCAGGAGTACGTTCACTGAATACATTTGCTCAGGATTGATTGAGTTGGCAAGAGGTAAACTTCACATCTTCCTCCACATCCTAGTGGCACTAAAATTGGAACCAAGAGACTTTCATAAAAAGCTGCCTAGATTCTTGGGCTAGAGAAAATTTTTATTTTTATTCTAGGATAGTTGAAACCAAGGTCATGCTAAAATAGAATGTCTAGAAAACCAGAAATTACCTATTTACCTCTTAAGTCTTTGCCGGGAGGAGGGGCGGGGCAGGGGGATTCCATTCCATTTGAATAATGGGAGATTAAACATGTCAGTGTTGTTCCACTTCTGCTTTATTAATGATTTAATATATCTACAAAGACCTAATAAAATACAGAAAAGGCCTATAATGCTTATTCAGACCATTGTTGTTTGCCAGGTACTTCTTCACGGACATATTTGTCTAAGAAAATATTACATTAAAATAAATCCTCAGTTTTTGTTTCCTTATTCTGTTCTCCCTTAACAGAGCAATAGGAAACATACTTCTTTTTAATATTTTCTTTTTTAAAACGGTTTTCTTTGTATAAAATTTTAGGACGTAGTGATACACAGTGGTACCTTAGTTCACAAACAATTCATTCCACAGTTCTGGAAGAGATGGCCACCTTCTATTTATGTGGGAAAGATGGCCACAGTCATATTCATCACCTGATGTGGAGTTTGCAAACAAAAACAAAATTTTGCCAAATGCTTCTGTTTGCGAACCAAACTGTTTGCAAACAAAAGCATTCATGAACCAAGGTACCACTACATATAGAAGCGGATTGACTTTTTGAAAAGTTAAGTCCATCTTCTCAAGAGTCTCCTAGGACATAGACAAGCAATTTTAGAAGTGAGCTCAAAGTTTTTTACTATGTTTCCAGCAAAGATCATTGTTCATTCAGGATGAAAATTTTTATAAGTCTGTTGACATAAAATGTGTATTTTTGTAATCCTTTATGGTGAAAATGAATAAAACAAAAAATAGTCACATAACAAAGAGGAAAAATCCTACCATTTGCCAAGCAGGCAAGCTTATTCACATGAGCGCTGGGTATGTCTGTGGATACATTTGAGGTCTTTATCCAAGAATCTTAGTCCAGCCCTCAGTACCAGACCTTTTCCCTGGACCTTCTCCATAAGTTGTTTCTCAGAGATCTCAGGCAGGCTACCCTGATCTGAATCTGCAGGAGAGGGTGGAAAATGCAGAAGGAGAGTCACGCTTGGGATACTTCTCAGTGGTCCCTGATGTTTACATCAAGAAGGGCAGCATAAGGATGATCCTCTCCTGGGAAGTCCCCAAGGTCATTGGGTAAACATATTGTCCTACATGATCATCTCTCCTAAGTCCATGGCTAAGCTCTTACCTCTCCCCAGGGCCCCTAAGACAGGCATGGTGGTGCACACTTGTAGTTCCAGTAGTTGAGAGGCTAAGGCAGGAGGATCGCCATGAGTTCGAGGCCAGCCTAGACTACACAGTGAGTTCAAGAGCAGCCTGAACTATATAGCAAGACCCTGTCTCAAAAGAAGAAAGAAAGAAAGCCCCTGAGCTTTATAGCAACTGCCTGAATGCTGTCACTATCAAAGATAGTCATGTGATGCTCCAACTCAGTGCATCCCTCTCCAGTACCACCAGACGCACCCTGGTATTCCAGGTATCTCCATCCTCAAAGTTCCCCAAGCCAGAAACCTGAGATCCAACTAGAGTGACCAGCTATCCTGGTTTATCAGGACTTTCTCTGGTTTGTCACACAAAATCCTGGGAAAGCCCTTCCGGTCCTCCCGGAGCCAGCTGAAATCCTGCCTCTCCCTACCTCATGCCCAGTTGATAGCCAAGTCCTGTCAACTCTAGTTCCCTTCAGGATCCCACAGCCCAAGCCACCTCTCTTCCTGCTCCCACAATGTCTGCTGCACACTGCCCCCACTTCTGTCCCTTCCATCCACCGTCTCCACTGCAAACAGAGAGACCTTGCTAAACAGCAAATCTCACCACTCATGCTCCTGCATCCCCTCCACACACACCCACGTGCTCCATAGCTTAACCCCTGTTGCAAGTCTGTTCTCCCTCGGGGTAACATCCCAATACCTTGGCATGTCATTTGAGGTCCCCATTATTCTGATCCCTGTTTAACTTCCTGTCTCCCACATTTGTCCTTTAAATTTTTTTTTCATAAAAGTTTATTTAAAAAATATGATAAAGCATACAAATGAACAGCCACGGAGGTACATAGGATGAGGTCCACAAGGATCCCCAGCATGAGTGTCTGTTGCCGTGGAGGTGAGATGTGCCCCCTCTGGCGATGGGTCCATTCCCTGATCCAGAGCTCTCCAAGCCCCACACTGAGGTTTCCTTACATAGGTGTGATTCATTATTAACTCAAACGCCAGCCTGTCTCTCCTCCCTGGAGTACGGGGAAATTTCGGGCTCTCGGTGGCCAGCCCAGTCCTGAGCTGTCTGAGTTGTCCTGTTCTTGCTGCTCTCTCCTCCCCAGTTTGGGCTGCGCACAGCAGATGCTTTTAGAAACAGTGCTCCCTTGTGCCTCTGAGCCATTGTGGATGCTTCCTTCTGCCCAGCTTTTCCTTTCCTCCCTCCTCCCCTGCATAGCTTAGCTTCTGTCTTTCCTGGACTGAGCCATCAGGTGTCCTCTGTGACATTGCTGC